TGAATAGGGAATTGAGGTATCTGATATCCTGTATTCTTATGAGATACAATTTGAGACCTGGACTCTGATTTGATATGCTCATTTTGTTACACTCAGTCCAAGCATTTCAGCCATGGTTTTCTCAGTCTTCTAAACACATCAGATTTTTCCACGCTATAGCAAATTTATGCTCTGTTTATACGGAAAATTGGGTTCTCAAGGAACAGGTTTATCATGTGACTCTTTTTGCTCTAGAATTCAGATCACAATCATTTTTTTCTTCAATGTTTTATTTCTGAAGGTCTTTCTTACTTGTTTTACCACTTGGTTTCACCATCTCATGTTGGAGGACATTTTGCCAGCATCTGAATATGTCTTTTTGCCTTTTGTCTGCTAAGGACTCTATAGTGTGTCCATCAGACACAGTCCAGGAGGTCTAACATGGAAGGCCCGACACTACCTACACCAGGAAAAAACAGTTTAGTTTGGATGTTCTTTTTCTTACCATTTATTGGTTTTCTTGCTTTCACACACCCTGCCTGGAAGGAACAAATGCACTTTGAAATTGTTCTTGGCCAGATTACATATCTGTTATCGCAATAGGTAGGGCTGTGGTAGTGAATCAAAGAACTATTGTGTAATGATTTGGACATGCAGAACTAGAAGACCAGAGAGTTACCACCTAAGCAGAACAAACAAAGGCAGCTGATATGTCCTGGCAGAAAAAAAAATTAAAATTAGTCCACTTCACTACTGTTTGCACTGTTTGTAGTGAAATTGGCTTGGGTTAAGGAAATGCAGGGGGAAAAGAAACATTTTCTTGGTGACAGAAGCAGCAGATTTGTGGGTTCAAAAGTGATGAAGGCAACTCAGAACTGCAAAGATGCATCTCTCATCTGCCATTGTTATTTCAGAGAAAATAATAAAAGCTGCCAAGGTGCAGACTTTGTTTCCAGATGATCCCCTGGCAGCCTATGAACTGCCATGTGGCTGGTCTTCTATCGGCCTATTTGTGTTTGCTGCCTGTCAGCAAGACAACTGCCCTTGCAGGTTCGCAAACAGTAGCAGTCTGAGATGTGTTGGAGTAGGCGCTGTGCATCTGACATACGGTCCATGAGCCTGTAGCCTTGTATGCCCCAAATGGTCCAGAGTGCCAGAGCATATGCAATTTATTTTGTAGATCAGTGTGGAGACACTGATCTCTTCCCGCTGCCTAGTTCATGGCAAGTTTTACATCTGGACAGCTTGCATGACAACCACTAAGTTTAGAAGCAAAGGACTTAAAGCTGGTAAGGTTAGCCCTATAAGGTCTTTCTACCATCAAGGAAGCAGTTCCTGGGACAGAGTGGAGCAGGCTCCCAGCCCAAGCAACAGATCAGCTGTCTAATGAAGAATGTGGTTTCCCTGTGTGTTGATTAAACAGGTGCTTGGCATGGAAAGTGGCACTCCTTCCCTTCTCCTCTTACTGAAATCATTGATGATGCCATGTCTGAGACTGTGCAAGTCACTGAGGTGTAACTCAGGTACTGCCCCAATCTGTGGCTTGTCATGTTGAATTGCTTTTCTACAATAGAATAATTAGGACTGATTCAGCGCCTGATATCCTGAGCCCTATCACGACGGACTTTGGACTTCAGCATGGCTTGAACTATACCACTGTGCTCCTAACAGTGCTCAGCACAAAACTGGTTCATAATGGAGTGACTGACATTCTCTTGGAGCAATATAAGCAGTCTTTCTATAAAGGAAATGCTTAACATTTGGTGTCATTAGGCCATGAACTTCTGCAAACTTTAAGACATTTGACTTGGAGGGCTGCCTTTGGCTTCCTTATCTCAGTATTAAAGTGTACTTGGCTCATTAAGAGAAAATTTCTAATGAATTCTTTAACTTCATGTGAATATCTGGCAACCAGATGAATCTTGCTGCACAGTGACATGATTTATATCTTTGACACTTTAGTCTTTGCATGAAAAGTGACATCCTCTAAGGAAAATAGCTTGTTTCGGGATAACATTCTGGGTTTGGAGAAAGATTTTTATTTTGTTGCTGCAAAATAGATTGGAAACACATGAAGAGATTAAGATATGCATAAGAGAGTAGAATAGGCATAAAAGTGCTTCCTGCAAGAATGATGGTTGTACTTTGTAGGGCCACCTACTGCTGAGAAAACTATTGCTAATGTAATTGTTACAAATTACAATAGAAAACAATTCTTGGAATTATGAAGCACTGTTGTTGGTTTTATTTTATTACAGAACTACCAATTAAACTTCCCTTTTCTACAGTAATTCTGTAGTGAGAGACTTTGATTTAGGGAAATCCCACTACAATTCACACAGTGGATTTGTTTTTTTCATTATTTAGTCAGGGGTGTGGGTGAAAGTTTCTCCTCAAAGAGAGAAGGATGAAAGCCTTTAGAACATTTTTAAATGCTATCAGGTGTAACTAGAGGAAAAGGGGAATAACCTGAAGTCAGATGCAAGCCCTAGGTAAGTGATGTACAAAGTGGAAATCGCTGACGCAAAAAATTGTTCGAGGCTGGAAAGCTCTCCTGGGGAAATATGTCTCATGTTTCTGCCTAAAAGTCCTTTTCAATCCATTAGGTATTGGTAATATAGGGAGACGCCAGCCTGTGTGTAGAACAGAAAAACCCTTGAAAACGCTGGCCCTTTCTTAACAACAGTGTCAACCCCTCCTCTTTAGGCACCCAGGCTGGTTTTAGCAGTGACTTAGCAGATAAGTCCCAGACCTGTGGACTGATTCTTGGCAAACTCTTTGAGGTACTAATGCTTTTGATCCAGGCAAGAGCTGCCTCTGAAGAACAATTGGGTGTAAGTAAGGGTAAAGTTTCTTTCTTTCCATTGGTTACATGGAGATTTTGGGCAAACTTCATGCAGGGCCAATGTGTTAAGATCTGCCCAAATCTGGTAACCTGATAGAGGTGAATCGGCACCATCCCCCCATGTCCATTCCAAGTAGGCACATGTACACACACATACACACATGCACAAAGGTACACAGACACACAAAGATACTATGGGTCCCCAGCAGCTGGGCTTAGACACCCCATCTATCCAGCAGATGCCCTGGGATATGCTGTTGTCCCCTGTTGCCTCAGGCACACACACATAAGGATCTCTCTTCACTGATCCCAGTTTCCACAGCCACCCTAGTCGCTGTTCATCAATGGCCAACCCACAGAACCCTGGTCTACCCAGTGTTCACCCCTGGCTTATGGCCACTTTTGCACCCAGCTCCCAACATCTCACCCTGTTCACTGGCTCATTCAACTAGAGTGCTTGCACACATACATATATACCCACTTGACATGCATGCCCCGCAGTCACTCCAGTCATAGCACCACAGACACAGGGGCCTCCAGACTTTGGTCCCATCCCAGGGGCTGTCACTGCGATCCCAGACACACACCTCTGCACACAGGACAGAGTCCTGGCCCTGGAAAATAGCTATAAATGAAAGGCCAGGACATACTGTGCCAGTCAGATGCAGGTGCAAAACAAGAGTCCCACAAGCAAAGTGTAGACACCAGTTGGCACTTAGTAAAAATTCTCATGTATTTTGAAGGGTCTCAGTTTCATTTTGGCATATTCATGTCTCCTTCTGTTGGGTTTTGAGGTTTTTTTGTCTGAAGGCAAGTGCTTGAAAAGGAGAGGATGGCAACGTTCTAGCTGCCATACCATGGGAAGAACAGATGAATGAAACCTCTTCTTCTCTCATTCAAGGGAGATGTGCCAAAGAACACGCAGTAGAAAGCCAATGTAGATGGTGAAATGTGATGTGACTTTGCAGCCCAACACTGTGGAAATTCCCAAGAAGGAGAGAAGCCACTGCTTCTGCTTCCTCTTCCTGATTCTGTTTTTTTCACTTGATGATTCTTCAAATGCATAAACAGCTCCCACTTTCTGTTCCTGCCTTGGAAAGTAATTTATTTGAAGTTTCCTGGGAAACAAGCAGATGTCCCCTCTCATGCTCGGCCTGACTCAATATCCTCTTGGTCACATTAAAATTTGGCTATAGACCCCTTGCCGAACTGTGCAAAAATGCAGAACCTCTCTGTGCAGGCCACCACACATGAATTCCTATCTTTCCCATCTCGGCCACCAGACACATTTGATTAATCTGCATCTCTTTTCTTCCTGTGTATTTAAACATGTCTATGATGCCTTCAGAAAATGAAAGAAAAAAGGATGGAGGAAATAAGGAGTTAACTACTCCTTAGGAAAAAAAAAAAGGAAGAAGAAAATTTAGGCATTGAATTAGGATTTATAAAAACCAGACTATAGAAACACACAAAGGATAAATATTTACAGGAAAATAACACTACTTCAGAGACAGAGAGAAGTTAAGTAGCAGTTCACAAATCTCAGGATCATGTGAGCTGTAACAAAGACTTTGGAGAAGTACCCAACACATGATTCTTTTTGTTCATATCCGCAAATCCGGATGGATTAAGAATAATCAACAATGAATCACAGAAGGGTTGAAGTTGGAAGGGACTGAGCACTCCAATGCTCAGTCACTCTCACAATAAAGAAGTTCTTCCTCATGTTCATCTGGAACATCCTGTGTTTTAGTTTGTTCCTTTTGCCTCTTGTCCTACCACCTGGCATGCTCTCCTTATACATCTTGACACCCTCCCTTCAGATATTTAAATACATTCATCAGATCCCCCCTGAGACTTCTCATCTCTAGGCTGAACAGACACAGTTCCCTCAACCTTTCCTCATATAAGAGATGCTCCATACCCTTAATCATTCTAGTATCCCATCGTTGAACTTGTTCCAGGAGCTCCAGGTTTCTTTTGTCCAGGAAAGCCCAGAAATGAACACAGTACTCCATATGTGGCACCACCAGGGCAGAGTAGAGAGGGAGGATTACCTCCCTTGACCTGCTGGCAATGCTTTGCCTAATGTAGCTCAGGGTACCATTGGCCTTTTTGGACACAAGGGCACATTTTGCTCACTCATGGTTAGCTTGCTATCCACCACCCCCCCCCAAATGCTTCTCTTCAGAGCTGCTTTGTAGCAGGTCAACCCCTAATCTGTAGTGGTGCTTAAGGTTATTCCTCCTTAGGTGCAGTACCCTACACTTGCTTTTGCTGAACTTCATTAGGCTCCTCTCCATTCACCTCTCCAGCCTGCCCAGGTCTCCCTGAATGTCAGCACAGCCTTCTGATGTATCAGTGACTGTTCGTAGTTTTGTACCATCCAAACCTTGCTGAGGGTACACTCTATCTCTTCATCCTGTATTGAGCTCCTTCAGAGCACAACTTGCTCATATATCAGAAAAAAAATATAGCGGTACATATTTGTATTTCTCCCTAACATTTACGTTTTCCCTTTTAAGATTTCCAAGGAGACTTTTTACCTCTAACAAGAACCATACCAAAAAACCATTCTGAAAGATGTCCTTGACAGCTTCCAGCACCAACAAATATGCAGCCATTTCAGACCATCTCCTCTGGTACTTAGCTGTCCTTCCAGTAAAAAAACTTTTTCCTCAATTTAGGGGTCTGTACGGCAGGTTTCCATATGTGGCTGGGGTATTTAAACCCCTCTTACCATTGGCAAAGACCTACCCAATACAGTCAATGAAGTATAGACAGCAATTCTTCTCATCTTCAAGTCCAAGTCATATGGTCAGTTGGATCGCTCTGTAGAATCTATTGTCCAAAATGGGAGCTTAGACACCTAAATAACTTATCTACATGACGAAACACTTAAAACTCATTCCAGCTCATTACTCATTTGCCTATACTTGAGAAGTCCACCTGGGATTGGCTGCCATGACACAGGAGCTATGCATTCTTCCAGGGCAGCTGGAGGTCAGGTAGGATTCTCTTCGGCATCTCAAATAGCACTAATGATCAGGCAGCTGAATCCCAAACCTCATGTCTAACCTTAATCACTGTTGTTTAAGACTACTGAAATCTTGGAGACTGCTTCCCTTTTAGGAAAAACCTTTCATATATGTAACAGCATTTGTCATGGTTCCACTCACTCTTCTTTCAGTGAACAGAGAGTCACAGAATTACTTACTTTAGTTACTTTAATCTTCCTACTCCAGACTCACAGAAATTCCTGGAGTCCTTCCAACCACAGCTCATCTCTCTGACTGGATCCAAACACGCTATTGCAGTGGAGATGTTATCCATTCTGGCAAAAGTAAGACCATTATTCTACTTACCATGCAAATGGGAACCCAGTTTACGCATTGCAGGAAAATTACTGAGTTTTGTTAGCATCAGTAAAAAAAAAATGTTGAATAATTTTCATACTCAGTTTTTCTAGCATTGTAAGATTGTTTTAGATACAACTTTAAGTTAGCTGACGACATGCCTCCTGGAGTTATGTTACTGATTATTCCTACATAAGATCAGCTCTTTGTACTATCTTTTACATTTTATTATTACATATTATGACATAATATGCTATATTTTGTTAAATAGTAAAAAAGATGTATGTATATCACATAAAGTTATTAATTATGTTACATTACTGTTATATGTTATTTCCTATCATTTTTGCCAGTTTGTCAAGACTTTGTGCTATTAATAATCTAAATTATGAATAAAAAACCCTTTTAATTGTAGCACCATGTTTTACCTGAAAAGCATTTCCTTGTTTAATAAACACACTACAAAATTGCCTAAAACAGAAGGCTCAGGCAAAATAAGGACAATAACGTTAGTTAAACACATTGCTTCACTACCTGCTGATGAAACTATTACGAATCATTTTTGCTAATCAGAGGATATTATGCAACATGAGTCAGACTGTCACTGATCTACAAATTAGCTATATAAACAGATGAGAAGTGTGTTCAATAGCTTAAGACTGAAACTGTGGTAGAAAAACTTAGTTGAGGATGAAGACCCTTTCTCTTCTCCTGTTGCTATATTTGGCTGTCTCTGCTGCTTTTCCTGTGGCTCCAGAAACAGAAGATGAAGGTAAAACCCTACAGCTTGTGGAGGTAAGCATCTTTTAGTGCATTTCTAAGTTAAACATAAGGTAGTCTGAGATATAACTATAATCTCAATTCTTGTCGCAGAATATGGCTTGAAATTAAAAGTCTGCCATTTTGCAGAGACAAAGCTTTTCCTATCAGTCTAGAAAACACATGAAAATTATGTGGAACTTATTTACACAGAAGTAATCTGTATATTGCACAACTTCATTATTGATGCTGTCAGTAAGGTAATAACAAAACTACCAAAGCATGAACTCTAGCAGCAGGGGTGTGTGGCTGTGCAGAAATAGTCAGTCAGCAGCAATTTACATTTCAGAATGTGCTTTGAAACCTGTGATATGATTAGTCTCAGTAACATAAGGGAGGAAAGTTGCTTGAAGCAGGGATGTATTTCAACCTTTTGCTGAGTAGATCTTTTGTGGAATACTTTGAAGAAAAGTACATTTGTGAGAAACCCTTACATAGACACAACACTATTTACTGGAGACAAAACTGGTGAAATTTAGTAGGAAGACCTGAGTTCCTTATATCATATTTAGTAGCAAAAAATAAATGGCATGATTTGCCAAATGCTGGTAGTAGTGGCTTCGTTGGGAGTCCTGGCTGTGTGGTGTCTCACTGCCAATCTCTATTTCCTTGAGTGAGACCAGCTATAAGTTTCCTCATAAGTTTTGTTGTTAGAGTAACTAAGCAACATAAAAAATATGGAATTAATTATTAAGAGTAAATATTGGATTTTAAATACATTTTTTCCTATAAGTGAAACAAGAAGTTCAGAAAACTGTATGAAATCTGTAAGTTGTGTCTGACTCTTTGCACAAATTCCTGGGAAAAAACATGCTATTCATGCTCCTGGTAAACACAGGACATGTTTATATGGGAAGTTCAAGATCAATTTTAAGTGTGACTGAAGGCAGTACTGATATGCCACAATGATAATTTTTAATCTTTCATTCAGAATTATCTACAGAATTTCTACGCTCTTCAAAGGGATCACCAGCCTCATTTAAAAACCAAGGGTGAAAATCCCCTTGCTGCAAAGCTCAAGGAAATGCAGGCATTCTTTGGACTGCAAGTAACTGGGAAACCTGATCTTGACACTTTGGAGATAATGAAAAAACCTAGATGTGGTATACCTGATATAGGGCAATACGTGTTCACAGCAGGGAATCCCAAATGGAAAAGAAATAATCTGACATACAGGTAACCTTTCCTTTTCTGGTTCAAAAAGATGTAAGTCTAGCATCCCAACTTTTGGGGCTCCCAAGTAAATACAGCATGACATATTTGGACATCTAGAGGGATTAACCGATTTCTGGAAGAAGACAGGCACTCTAGAAGGCAGTATCTAAAATGAAGCCATTATTAATTTTCATTTGTGAAAGATGTATCTAAGATTTCCAATTTTTACACAAGTTATTATTTTTTTCAGCTAAAATGTTGTATTCCTAACAATAGACAGTATGTTTGGTTTGCCTTGAAGGATTTTGAATTACACTCCAAAGATGAGACGAGCTGATGTAGATGAAGCAATCCGAAAAGCTCTCATGTCTGGAGCAATGTGACACCACTGACATTCCAGAAGGTTGAGGACAAAGAAGCAGATATAATGATCTCTTTTGCTTATAGAGGTAACAATGATACCTTTATGTATTAAGTAGCCATTTGCAGTCATAGAGGAAATTTAGGATTCTGAGTGATATTTTTCCCCTCTTCATTTTAGATCACCGTGACAACTCTCCTTTTGATGGCCCCAATGGGCAGCTGGCTCATGCTTTCCAGCCTGGTGAAGGTATTGGTGGAGATGTGCACCTTGATGAGGAGGAAGCCTGGACAAAAGATGGAAGAGGTAAGGACTTTGTAACTGGATCCATTTACCCAGTTTTCCTCGTAAACTCTTTAACTTGTGTGATGCTTAGTTCATGAGGCTGATAACAGGCAGAAAGTGAGCAAAAGTAGCAGAAAGCAGAACTTGCCCTTGTTTTTTTTTTTTGGGCCAGACATTTTTTAAGTATTCATATAGCTGTTCTGTTACAATATTTTTGAGTTGTGATGTTGACAGCATTACTTACAGCCTCCCTTATACGTTGAATGTATTTTGGGAGGATGCATAGGTGTTTCCCACTTAATCAACTGTGGTGAGCACTGACATAGATTTACATTGTTTCATATGACTTTTATCCTACAGGATACAATTTGTTCATTGTTATTGCCCATGAGCTTGGCCATTCACTTGGTCTGTCTCATTCAAATGATCCTGGAGCACTGATGTATCCAACTTACTCCTACACGGATCCTAATGAATTCCTTCTTCCTCAGGATGACATTGATGGCATTCAAGCCATTTATGGTAAGAAAAAAATATTTCTATTTAATATTCCTAACTGGGAGGCTGGTAAACACTAATAGGAATATATTTAAAATTTTCTTATTCCACCAAATGTGAAGTTTAAGTGTTGCTGAGCTATGAATGACAAAAGAGAAAATCCCTGGGAGCTAACTTCAGCTGAAGTCCAGACCTGCAAAAAAGTTATTTTGGAAAGGATTAATGTAACAGGTTTTATCAACATTAAAGGCCTGCTTTTAGTGACAGACCTTAACTTAAAACCATATGCCTTTTCATTGCCTGTAAAGAGGGCTCTTGGTGTGCTCACAGACCTTCTGAACACTGTCTTTATAGTTCTTCATACTAAAAGATGAAATATTCTTCCTATAGGACAGTCAAATGCTGCTGTGCAGCCAACAGGACCCATAACTCCACAAGCTTGTGACCCAAATTTGACATTTGATGCTATTACTACCTTACGTGGAGAAATAATATTCTTCAAGGGCAGGTAACAACAATAAGCATATGTATTATCTCATTAAAATATTCAGTAGTTAAAAAAAAAAACTGTAATCCATGATGCAAAACTGTCTTTTTAGAATGTAGTGCAAAGAGAAGGGAATGGAGTAGAAAGAGAGTCACTAGAAAACCACTATGTATTTAAACAAGCAAGAGATCTCAAATCATTAATCCTAAGAGCCTTTGCTGACGAGAGCAGTGAAGGAGATGAGGGCTTGTAGGCTGTTTTCCAGCTCTTCTGCTGCTGTGGCCGCTGCTGCAACAGACTTGTCTCTGAGTGCAATTCAGCTCACAGCAAAGCAAGAACATTCATCTACCCCTTAGCAATGCGTCTGTGGGTCCCACACTTTAACCTTTCTACTATTCCTCCATACAAGAGCAGGGATAGAACTGAAAGCTGTGTCACATAGAAAAGACATCTGTTAGCCAGTTACTGAAGCCAGCTCTTTGTCTGCTTGACCTACAGAGAAATAGAAGGGCTTATATTCATTTTGCCTGATTTTAACTAAGTTGCTAAAATTAAGAGTGTGGTCACTCTAAATTTCCTTTACATTCAGCAGAGAGGATATTCACATCCAGGTACCCTTCTCCCTCTGTTATAGTCCAGGAGCTCTAATAATTATTTTGCACTTATGATTGGAGGGTAACTATTTGATTGCATAAATTTTGTTTAAATCAGATATATGCTGCGCAAACATCCCACAAGGACAGAGACAGAGCTCAATTTTATCTCACTGTTCTGGCCAAAGTTACCATCAGGAATTCAAGCTGCTTATGAAAACGTTGAGAGGGATGAAGTTTTACTTTTTAAAGGTAATGGAATCTGAAATCCTCTACTTTTTCTAACCAGTTACTCCCTGCTCCTTTGCATACTATACAATTGCAGAATTCAAGGTGTTTTTAAGGGAAGATCAGTGAAACAGAGAATCTAGTTCACTTCTAGTCTCTCTTAATCTCTAAAATATGTCACTTTATGCAGAAGAAATTGTGGTGAATCCAGTTAGCAAATACGGGCATTTGTACACTACTGTTACTGATATGCTTATTAGTATTTTGTGATATTTTGACCAAAAAAAAAAACACCCAACAAGCATAATGTGAGAAGAAAATTGTTCATTGAAAAAACAGTCAACCCTTTTATTTAAAGGTGTTAAATGTCTCAACTTCATTATGCACATATTACAGTACCTGGTACATTACAGTACACAATATATTACCATTTATGAGTGTGTTAGAGAATCCAAAATTACAAAGCATTTTTATTAGACATATGCCCTTCTTAATAGTTTAATTTAATGCACATTGTCTAGTTTTCAAAATATTATATGGCTCTACAATCAAATAATATTATAGGAATCTAACAAACTCAGTATCCCAGACCAATGTGAGTGGACAAGCTCATCAACCTCCAGCCCTCCCCAGGCTGTTACCAAGACAAATACTTTATATTCATTAAAAAAAAAAAAAAGTGGGAAAAATACTATCCATACACCTTATGATTCTAATGTTTTACCCATAAAGCTAAAAGACATTTCCATTACCTTCATGATGTAGTTCCAATGTAAGAATTAGAACCCTTTTCTAAAGTAATAAACTGAAAGGAATAATACTGATGCCTAAGACACACAGCTCCTTATCTAATACACAATTAAATGCTCTTTAAAAATAGCAAATCAAATGAAATGTGCTTATATTTTTCAGAGGATAAATATTGGGTTCTCAGGGGATATGACATTGCACCTGGATATCCTAAACCAATCTATCGTTTGGGGTTCCCGAAGACTGTCAAACGAGTCAATGCCGCTTACAGTGATGAAACCACAGGAAAAACATACTTCTTTATAGCTGACAGATACTGGAGGTAAGATTTTAATGTTCATATACTAAAAGGCATATTTTTACTTGTCCCTAAGAACTGATGTATTACTATAAAACTGGGTGCAGTAATGTTTAAACCAGGAATATTCCAGAAATATAAACAGGATTCTCTGAAAGTTTAAAAGTCGCAACAATTTGCTAGGAAATGTAACTTTTTCAAAGGACATTTTCCCTATACATTTGTACCAGGAGTGTAATTATTTGCAATGGAACAAAACACCTGCTCAACTATAGAGTGATTTTTCTAGTAAATTACTCTTTTTTTTTCTCCACATCAGTGGAGCTGCTTTTCAGTGCAATATTGTGAAGGTGTCCACTTTTTATTCACATTTCAAACAAAATGAATTGGTAGTAAAAAGTGTTAGAATTTAATTTATCTATGAACAAATTATGATTGTCCTCCCATTGTACAGTTGGTCATATTTATAATTCAAGTGTAGACTGTGACAAATTTCAGAGGTTAATTTTGTTTAAGTATATGGTTGCACTAATACACATATGTTTCAGGACTGTGCTACTGTCTTCTACTCCCAAGTTGTATGTTTTGCTTTTATACTGAACTGGATATCCATTACTCATTTTATGTGCAAGTGATGGACAAGGCTCTGTTCAGTCCAGAAAGGCATTAATGAGTTCCTGGCCTGAATTCCCAAGGCCTGTGAGACCCTTCTTTTAGCAAAGGCAGGTTTTTCAAATCTCCAGATACTCATAATGTGAAAACCTTAATACGTAACAGGAAGAATCAAAAAACTGCTTTAACTATTCTTTATAAGACTTCTTGCATATGTGCATGAATTTGCTTTGGACTTTCAAAATACTGTCTGCTTCCTTAGAAATTGTAATGATGTTTCTTCTGTTAAGATATGATGAAAACAAAAAATCCATGGATCATGGTTATCCCAGGAAAATAGTCTCTGACTTTGGAACAATTGGCAGAGTTGATGCTGCTTTCCAAAAAGGTGGTGAGTAAAGCATACCTTTAATCTAGGTTTACTTGAATATTTGAGCTTCTCTAGGTAGGATCATTTGTTTTCAAAAATACTGTTATTAGTCTTAATGAGAAGGAAATTAAAAATAACAAGAATACATGGGCTGCTCATCTTGGGTTGTTTTTTTTTTGTTTTCCAAAATACAGAAAAAAGTCACCTATGAAATATAACTGTATTAAACATTATTTCTAGGCTATGTCTACTTCTTCCGTGGAACAACTCAGTTTCAGTTTGATCCTCGTTCCAAAAGGATTGTTGGACAAATGAAGAGCATCAGCTGGTTTAATTGTTAATTGTAATGTTTTTCCATATGCACAGTGTATGTTTTTACGTGCTAAATTTTTCAGCATTTCAGGACAATCAGGTCAGAATGAATTTCTGCCCAAACTGTTTAGGAGCACAGCCTTATTTATTGTATACCAAAGATATTTATATAATGTATCACAATTTCACCTGCTACATTTAAGTTTCCTAATAAATTATGGTTTTCATATCATTGTGTCATTTATGTCTTATTTGCAGTAATACTTAAGAGCCAAGTCTAGGTTCCAAACACTAGAAAATGTATTCTGGCAGGAAAAGTCTGATCTTTTTCTACAAGCCAGAGAAAGGAGCAGCCAGCTGGCTCTGATGTCCATCATCCTGCACAAGCCCTGGTGAATATTCTATGGGTAATTAGGCCAGTTGTGGCTCATTAGAATCACTCTACAAATCACCACTTTCTGTTCCTCTTTCCCTAGCTTTTACTCTTAGCCTTCCCGCCCCAGGGTGTATGTCTTTCGAACTGTAGGCTGGGCCTTTTTCCTCATGTTTTGGGGTTTAGGAACTGAATTTAAACCTGGGAACATAGATTAGAAAGGACCCCTGTGATCACTGAAACAAGTTCTTTGCTATCACACATAGCCACATCATATAATGGACAAATGAATCTCTTTACTCAAAGGTCTTTCAAGTGCTTACTCCTCCACTAGTTAGTAAATTCCTCCTAATTTCAGTGGGTTACAGAATGAAAGTTTTTCTTTAAAAATTAAAATTCTTGGCAAAAAATATTTTTGACACAAATGGTTCATGGAAAAGAAAGCTTGACTTCCATCTAAACTGCATTATTTCAAATATCCTAAATTAAAATAGTGTTTGAAAGGTTATCCACTTTCTCTTTAGTCTTTGTAGCTCAGCTGATAACACTAGAAGTCATGTGACCATACAAAAATGTGTTATCTCATACAATATCTATATTATTCTGAACACTTCAGAGGAAGGTTTCAGCTTACTGTAATAGAACTAACTGTATTTTGTGGAAAGAATGTGTAACCTTATAAAAAAACATATCTGTTCAGTTTTCTTCATTACTTAGCTGTCTGTATTAGAAGTCTGTTGAATTTGATTCTTCATAACGATCAAGCTTGGTAGTTTTTACTTTTATTAAATTCAGGAGTAAAAATTAGTCTACATACTATCTAAAGATAAGAAAATATATAATTGAAAATTAACTTGAATAGATCCTTCCCCTCTACTCTGCTCTCATGAGACCTCACTTGGAGCATTGTGTACAATTCTGGTGTCCTCAACATGAAAAGGACATGGAACTGTTGGAACAAGTCCAGAGGAGGGCCACAAGGATGGTCAGGGGACTGGAGCACCTCTCATATAAAGACAGGCTGAGAAAGTTGGGGTTGTTCAGCCTGGAGAAGAAAAGGCTGCCTGGAGACCTCATAGCAGCCTCCAGTATCTGAAGGGGGCATGTAGGGATGCTGGGGAGGGACTCTTCATTAGGGACTGTAGTGACAGGACAAGGTTAAAACTTCAGTAACAAGTAACAGGTTAAAACTTCAACAGGGGAAGTTTAGATTGGATATAAGGAGGAAATTCTTTCCTGTTAGGGTGGTGAGGCACTGGAATGGGTTGTCCAGGGAGGTTGTGAATGCTTCATCCCTGGCAGCGTTCAAGACCAGGTTGGACGAGGCCTTGGGTGATATGGTTTAGAGCGAGGTGTCCCTGCCCATGGCAGGGGGGTTGGAACTTGATGATCTTAAGGTACTTTCCAACCCTAACTATTCTATGATTCTCTGATTCTACATTCTTTGTAAAACTTAAAAAATTATAAAATAATAAAAAATAAATTAAATTATAGTGCATCAAAAGCTTTAATGAAGAAGGTAATTTATGTGAATCCTGTTCTCACAAGGTGATTTATATACCAGTTCTTTAATCCAAAACATTAGTAGCAATTCTATTTAACAATATTTTCTTGTGTAAGCCAGGGCTACTGAACTACCAATGACAAATCAAAAATTGTTTTAGAAGCATATAAATCTAAATTGATTATACTGTTTTAGAAAAGAAGGACTACAAACATAACGCAAGTATTACAGGGAAAGATAATATTTCTTAATAGACTAATTATATATTTAAAAAAAAAATGAAAATTGAGGACATATGTTCTCTTTAGATATGAAGCAAAACCAGAATGTCTCTAGACAATGCCAAAACAGCTCTTCAGACTTAGAGGAGTACACTAATCCCTCTCTACGCAAAAATAGTAGTGAGTACTCATGGAGCAGAAATAGTGCTAAATGGAAGAAAAGGGTTAAGGAGATGGTTATGTTTTGGAGGAAAGACAGAGATAACATGTAATTTAGAAACTAGGTAAGGTGAAGAATTTAAAGAGAAGATTTAAGTTTATAATGGCATATTTTTAGTCCATGCTTTTTGGTATTCTGTAAAGTTCTGAATTTAGTTACCAGGAACACTTTTTTTTTATTTATTTTGTGAATTTCCCTTGAACAGGAAGACAGGAAGTTCAAAATGAGGTGATTTCTTTGTGAGAAGTATTCCCTGTACTTATGTGAGTGCAAATTTCCTTTGTCTGGGTGAGCGTGGGTATTACTTCATCCCTCACCATCAGGAGGAGAGCATGTATGGGTCCGACAGCTCTTGCCTGCCTGCAGGCACAATCACCACTTTAAGTAATTTGGAAACTAAGTGTTGTTTCCAGCTCAGTCCACACAGTCACGTGCCATTTTCTTACTCCTTTTTAATAACTTCAAGGTCCTACTTGCTAATTACTATGGCAGAGTACTGTACCACTCGCTAGTGTCTGGTAACTGGTTTTGTGTGTAGTCGTAGCCCATACAGTTATTAACTGAGACAGATTTGCCCAGGCAGGAATCCAATTCCCTAAACGTGTTCAGTGAATTTGGGGTGCTGTAGGGAATTCAAGTCACCCATGCAGGTATGAAATGGAGAGACCAGCTTCTGGGAGACCAGCACTTCCCAAAGTCCCATAGAGCCTGCACTGTCCCTCGGCACGTATGTTCAGGTGGTTGAATCCTGTCCTCACAGGCTGCATTCTTTGCTAAAGATTTGCCAAGAGTCAAACACATTATTTGAACTATTTGCCACTGGCCCATGTTTTTCACTTAAGCTGAGTAATGATTTACCTTTGTTGACTCTATAGTAGGATTGAGCCTACAAAGTAGTGGCTCAGTTCAGCTGCTTGAACAAGTATCTAGTGCTATTAAGGTCCCTGAATATTTCCAGTTGGCCTCCAATTACCAGTCTAGAAGCCACATGTCCTCTCTATGTCCTGAGTCACAGCCACCAGGCCTGTGTCATTGTCTCAGATACTCTAGACTGCCTCAAAAGCACAACAAATCACTGTTTAGGCAGCTTACTTGCAGCCTAAGGGGTTTTATGTGATATCAGTTTTAGGCTCTCTAAATATATATATATAAAAATATCTGTAATGCTGGCCAAAATATTTGGTGAGCTCCCGAGAGCTGCACAAATCATCCTAAGTTTTTTCCTACATATGGTCAGATGAAATGCTCTCTAGATGCCATTTGACCATATTGGTTAGATTTCTATTGATATAATGCAATCTTAGGCAGTTAATTCACATGCAGACATCCATGTTGTGAACACTGATGAAAGCTGGATCCCTGCTGGTGATGTATTAGGATCACCATGATGCAGCAGTGTAGCATCACTTGATACTAGAAATGTGATGAGGAGAGGCAGTGACCTTTCTGGGTTAAAACACAGGTCACATTACTGCAGTCTGTATAAACCAATTCTAGGACAAGAAAAGAAGTCATGAGGTAGACCAACATCCACCAACTCTAACCAATGTCAAAGGCAAGCATTATGAAACCATAACCAGCAGCTGCTTATACAGCTTCTTCTTTTCCCAGACCTCAAGGCCAATTATAGGTCTATTTGTGAAACATCACTTGCAAAAACGTGTTCAGACCTCTCTCACGTGGGCCATGGGAACTGGCCACTATGCTGTGTAGGTGGTCAAGTTTCAAAACCCTAATTGTATTTTGAGTGACATGGGCCCCCGTCATATGCAACTCAAATGTTTCCTAAGCAAACACTAATGTAGCATGAGCTGTTAACTGAAATTAGAAATGTAGTCTAAATTAGCTGCTTAAGCTTCTCTATGCTCAGTGAAGACAGAGAGCACCTATAGAGGCCAGTTCATCCTAATCTAAGATAGCTGGTTGAATCACTCTCTAGAGATACGTATTTCTTCATTTTTCTATAGAAGAATGCTTAGTTAATAAATGTATGAAGTTAGGTGCAACTAATCTTAATCTAATCGCTCTCTTTGTCTCTATCCTTCCACTGCTAGACAGCAGACAGCTATGGGGATCTGATGGCCAACCACAGTTGAAAAAAGACCACCACTTCTTCCAGTTCGTATCAAATCTGCTCACAGTGCTGCCTTGACTTTTTTTTTAACATTCAATTCATATAAGCCAAAACATGTTTTCCAAATATATGCCATTGGAAAATATACTTGGTGCAAAAGCCATGGAATGGGGTTTTGTCATTTGTTACCGATGCCATGTATATAGTCAGATGAAAGCACCATGGTCATTCCTTCTAGCTTTAAAAACTCTGAGACAAATAAATATATCCATTTAAAAACATGAAGTGGATCTCAAAAAAGAAAGTCTGTATTTCTGCATAAGCACATGTCATTACCCTTTTCAGTTCAGTTTAGCTCTCCATCTTAGAAAAATCATTGTCACAGTTTTTATCTCAGTTACAGAACTGAATAGGATCCAGATCTTACCTTACAATACAATGATAAAAGCAAATTAAGGGAAGTGTTTGGTTGTTTGTTGGTTTTTTTTGTTTGTTTGTTTGCTTGTGGGGGCTTTTTGTTTGTTTTGGGTTTGGGGAGGTTTGGAGGGGGGTGTTTCTTGGTAGCTAAGAAATGCCATTAATGAATAAATTAAACTAACAAGGCTATATGGTGAAGTTTGGGGTAGAAAATTCATCATTAACACCTCCAACTGGAGAAAAGTTGGCTGCAAGTGACAACAACAAAAAACAAAAACTCAGAAGCAAGGATTTCCTGAAAAAGCCACAGTCCAACATGAGGGTATTTCTTACAACTGTTTTGTAAAAGTTGAGTACATGCTGTCAGAGCTCCTCTAAGGCACCAAACACCTTCAACTCAAATTGCCACCAGTGGAAGAGGAAGGTACTTGCCCAGCACAGGGTGAAATCCCATAATTTGTCACAGCTTGTGTAAATCCTGAAACTTCCTTTATTTTGAATTACTTAAGACAGGAAATAATCACACCCCCTGTGGCTAATGTGGTTAAACTGAAGAAACCTTTTGTGATGAAATGGCAGATAGATCGATCGATCGATCGATAGACAGACAGATAGACAGATGCATATGTACATACATAAATAAGTACTTTAGGTAGATGCAGACAGAGATATAACATTATCTACATTCCTTAGGCTAGATTTATAGGGTAAAATCTTTTTAACTTATCTGTATCTTGTAAACACCAAGCCCCACTTGATGGATCAATTTAAAAAGAAAAGTTTCTGCTTACAGTAAATTCTCCCAAAGTGCTTTTTTGTTTCGTTGGTTTTTGGTGGGGTGTTTTTTTTTTCTTTGTTTGTCTGGGGTTCATATTCAGTGCATAGTTCCCATTTTCTAGGCTGAGAATTCTGAGCAGTCCCCATACATTTGTGGGCCGCATTTCACACAGCTGGGTCTGGACAACTTGGAAGGTTTTGCATTTGTCCATTTGATCTGCTACGAAATTGCTGAGGATCATTAAAATTCAGTGTCAAATAACTAAAACTGAGTGCCAGTTTTGAAATAGTAGCCAAACAGCTTGGACTATTCAAGTGCTAACTGACTTCACATGTCTGCAAAATTGGATGGGTTTAATCAAGTTTTATTGTGTCAGCCAGCGCACTGTTATAGGATGTGGGAGGTAATCAGAACATGATAAACTCTGAGTCAGTCTACAGCTGACTCTATAAAGCACCCCATAACAGTATAAACTGGAATGCAGGAGAGGATGGACATGGAACAGAAAGCGGACTGCTCATCTACCACGACAGAGATGAGAATAAGGATGAAGGATCTTTCACTTCTGCTTTTAATGTGTGCAGCTGTTTCTAACGCTGTCTCTGTACACCTAGAGAAAGATAACAAAGAAGACACAAAGCTTGTACAGGTAACTACATTGTCCATATCTGAGATCTCTTGAGCCCTTTCTGTTTAGATATAATCTGCATGTCCCAGATACACATCAGTTTGCTGTCTTTCAGAGACAATGCTATTACACAAAACTTTGCTGTCCAAACTTTACTAAAGTGGGATTAATCTGTACAAACTATAAATGTCAAATAAATAAGTGAGATAATGTTGTCTGTTTCTGTTTAGCTATGATCCTCAGGAAAACATCTGTTTTGCTCCAAAATCACAAGCAGATGCTTTTGCCAGCAAAGCACACAAACAATACCAGTCCTAAGGTATTTGTTTAAGAACATATCAAAATGTGAAATGCAATTGCTTTACTTTTTCACTAGGACTATTTAAATAAATTCTACACTGTTGAGCCTGATCCAAATCAGCTTGGATGGAAATCAAATGCTGAATCCACATCTGAAAAACTTCAGAAAATGCAACGATTTTTTGGTTTGAAAGTGACTGGAAAACCAGACACTGAGACATTGGAAATGATGAAGAAACCCAGGTGTGGAGTTCCCGATGTGGGTCTCTACGGCGTTACTCTGCCAGGATGGAAGAAAAACAAGCTGACGTACAGGTAGTATTTCAATAATTGCTTTTTTGAATTAAAGTTTGGTTTTGTGGGTATTCACATGTGTTACAGTTAAATACAACTTCTACATCAATTGTGTCCAGTTGGGAACACAAAAAGGTGTCTCTTTCCCCAGCTGTTAGCTATGCATATTCCTGAGAAGGATTTCTGAGATTCAGGCTCAATTAATCATAGTATTTTGCTTGTCATTCACCATTCCTGACAAACATTCTGTGACCAAACAGAAATACCCACTGCACTTTGTACAAGCCCCATTATCTTCAAAATTTGCTAAGACCAACAGTTTAGTAGTCACAGCAACCTGAGGACATGACTTTCCTCATGCTCAAGAGATGGCCTCCTGGTTAAGGGCCATTTTGAGAAAATCTGATATCATGTACACAAGTATTATTATGAAAAAAATATAATTAAGTATTGCATGATTGGTTACATCATGTAGCCTTCATGTATGGTTCTGGAATTGGCTTTAGAGCAGAGACAAAAGTGTAGAAAATCAGGTTTGGGTTTTTTTGTCAACTGACTTCAGACAAGGCTAAAACCATATTGTGCTGCAGACTTTGAGCAGCTATTTTGGCAGGTTATCACATTCCTCGGAAGCATTCAATCCAAAATGAATCTTGGGAGCTATCAGACTGTAGGTTAAATTAATTCCCTGAATCTCTGTTCATCATCTTGACAATATTAGAGATTTTTTTTTCTGCAAACACTAAGTATTATTACTTGAACTCTCATAACCATAGAATTGTTAACCGCACACCAGATATGACCAAAGAGGATGTGGATAAAGCAATCCATAAAGCATTTGAAGTGTGGAGTACTGTCACCCCGCTGATTTTCACTCGTATTCATGAAGGAATAGCAGATATAATGATTGCTTTTGGGACCAAAGGTAAATAAGCTGACTGCATAAAAATGTTAATGTGAAGATTTTGCAGTAGTCATAACATAAACTTTGTATTGTTTCAACATCACCTTATTTAGCTCATGGACGTTGTCCTCGTTATTTTGATGGCCCCCTCGGCGTCCTTGGGCATGCGTTTCCACCTGGCAATGGTTTTGGTGGTGATGTGCACTTTGATGAGGACGAAGATTGGACCATGGGCTCAGCTGGTAGGTAAAAAGGTCTTTCTGAAGTGTTATGCAGTTGGGTAAATCCCTTTCTGATTTTATTTAACTGAAGATTTAGACTGAGATGAAACACAACATTAACCGTAAGAGCAGTTTGAGGATACTACAGGCCATCCTTCAACCAGGGTATGTGCAAAAATAACAATTGCAATGACATAAATCAGCCTGATCTATTTTAGTTCTTATTTAGTGCTGGTAAAAATACCAACAGGACAACCCTTTTCAAATATGAATGCTACAGACATGGGCCACTCTTACATAGGGGCTGCTAGAACCCATGCCCACCAGAGTTTCACAACCTATGGTAAAAGCTTTGACTTTGTCCCCTCCCGACACACACACTGGCACCAAGCCAGGCACTACCACACACTGCAGAGGAAGCACACTGTGCCTTGTGGAAGTCCTCAGAGGAGATTCCCACTACCTAGAAAACACTACAGAAACCAGTGATAATGAAGAGTCTTCACTGATAATACAGTAGGTCCAAACATAAGCTAGGATAGGCTTATACACAAAAGAATTCTCTAAACAAATTCAGCATCCTACCAGGAGCTGGGTTTCTGAGTGGGCTGTTCAGGCCCCCCATGGGCTGAGATGCAGTGTGTAGAGCTGACTACAGATGTGTTATGCTAGGCTATAAGAGAGGGGAACACCAAGTGATCAACTCTCTGTTCCCTTCAATCTCCAGGCTAGCCAGACAGCACACACTGCCTCTGACAGATCTGTCAGTACACAACGACACAACTGTCATTGTGTTTAAGGTACACACCCTGTTGTACTTTAGACCCTTATCTCATCTTGTTTAGGGGATGAAAAATTGCATAGGGTAACTGCAGCAGGCTGAGGCTACACTGCACGAAAAGCAAGGAGCTAGCAAACAGAAAGGTTCTGTAAGAGCACTGCATCAGGAGAAAAGGTCTGGGTTTATTGTGGTGGGAAAAAAGAGGAGGAGGAGAAGTGGACATGTCATGCTGATAATATGTACTGTTTTCCCCAGACTGGAACTGAACAGGTCAGCCTCAGTTTTGCTGCTGTTTCTCAACAGCACAGTTCCAGAAGCCAGGCATTGCAGAACTCTGAGAGCGCGGAGGACTTGTGAGAGGGGAAGACTGGAAATATGTGTGGAAAAATTGAAACTTTGTTTGATTTTTTGAGAGTGGATATCTTGGCTTCAGCCAGCCTTTCTTGGGAAATCGATGACCAGTCCTCTGCTCTGCCACAGACTTGTGATCATCACTAAGCCTGTTAACATTGTTGGCTCTTGGTCTGCAGGGCAGATGAATGTTCTTTCCTAACTGAGAAAGGCGTGTTACTTGGAGGGATGTATGTTAAAGGAAATTCAATTTTTATCTATTTATTATGTTAACACATTTCACTGGGAATAAGCATGCATAAGCATATTGCACCAAAAGGAGTGTGACCAGCAGGTCTAAGGAGGTGATCCTGCCCCTTTATTCTGCTCTCATGAGACCTCACTTGGAGTATTGTGTACAGTTCTGGTGTTCTCAACATAAAAAGGACATGGAACTGTTGGAACAAGTCCAGAGGAGGGCCACGAGAATGATCAGGGGGCTGGAGCACCTCCCGCATGAAGATTGGCTGAGAAAGTTGGGGCTGTTCAGTCTGGAGAAGAGAAGGCTGCGTGGAGACCTCATAGCAGCCTTCCAGTATCTGAAGGGGGCATGTAGGGATGCTGGGGATGGACTCTTCATTAGGGACTGTAGTGATAGGACAAGGGGTAATGGGTTAAAACTTCAACAGGGGAACTTTAGATTGGATATAAGGAGGAAATTCTTTCCTGTTAGGCTGGTGAGGCACTGGAATGGGTTGCCCAGGGAGGTTGTGAATGCTCCATCCCTGGCAGTGTTCAAGGCCAGGTTGGATGAGGCCTTGGGTAATATGGTTTACTGTGAGGGGTCCCTGCCCATGGCAGGGGGGTTGGAACTTGATGATCTTAAGGTCCTTTCCAACCCTAACTATTCTATGATTCTATATTTTAAAAAGATATTTTATTTTACAAAGCTATAAAGAAACTATACTCTTTCAAGTCCTAATGATAATTGTTCTGCTAACATATTTTTTCCTTGTCTACTTATGATCTCACCTTTCTTCCTCAGATTCGTAGGAGGGAGGGTGATACACAGAGTGACACTTCAGCACCTCAAGTGAACATGAAGTGCATCTTCCTATCCTTGCCCTGGAGAGCTCTTAGCTTGTTTTGACTCACTATCTAATTTTCTAGCTCAGCCAGGAAACCCTGCCAGGACATTCCTCAGAGCTGCACCCACATTCACCCCCAGACACTACTCATGCCACACACACACATTCAGTGGCTAACAGAAAGAACAGCAGGAAAGAGGGCCAAAAGTCACTCCCTTCTAGTGGGGGAAGAACTCAAGCCTTGCCTATACAAAAAATATGTTTACGTATATGCATACCCTCATGAATTTAAATATATTGAACAATATGTTCAATATGAACACTGTCACTGAGCAATGGTCCTGCTCTGCTCTTATCAGCCGTTTGCAGACCAAACTTAGGCTGATCTCATCTCTCTTTTTAAGGGTTCAACTTGTTCCTTGTTGCTGCTCATGAGCTTGGCCATGCCCTGGGTCTCTCCCATTCTAATGACCAGAGGGCTTTGATGTTCCCCAACTACGCCTACATCAGCCCTAGTGAATTTCCCCTCTCTCCAGATGATATAAACGGCATACAGTCCATTTATGGTGAGTAAAATTCATGCCTTGAAAACATAACTAAGCAGGAGAGAAATAATCTCTATCAAAAAGTTTCACTATAAAAATATTTGTCTTCTCATATTATCAAAAATACAATTATGTATGAAAACCTGAATGTTTATCTAAATTTGGTGTATTCTTCCCATAATATCTTCTTAGGATCTCTACCAAATGCCCCAGATAAAAGGCCAGCCATCCCTACCTTACCTAAGACTTGTGGCTCCCAGATGTCTTTCAATGCTGTAACTACACTCCGACGAGAAATCATTTTTCTAAAGGGCAGGTAAATATTGCTATGCCATTGGTCTCCATGAGGTTGCTTTTTTCTTAGTTTCTACAAAGACTGAGTGGTTTGCATGATTATGGGATTTATGAGACAAATGGATAGATTTCTCTTCATGGAAATAAAACTTTAAGCAGATATGTGTTATATTCATATTTTTTACAGGATGCCCTGAAAAAAATGCTTAATTTTTCCCCAAAAAAATCTCAGCCACAATAAAGTTTTATTCCCAGATGTATAGATGGTTACAACAAGTAATATATAACTAAATGATGCAAACATTTTCTAAGAAGGTAGTATGTTCTACCATATAGTTGGGCTAATCTATCCTTCAATCACCTGCTCAAGCCCAAAGCCATCTGGGTAAAACATATAGGGAACAGCTTACAGTCAAGCTTATCTGGAACCCTATAACTGTCTCACTATATGGTACAGAAACAACCTGAATTTTTCAGCTGCTTGTAGCTGATCCCATAATCAATCAGTACCAACAAGAAGGGCAACTCCTGAAAGAAGCCAGAATAAAAAAAACCCTTCACTTCCCATTGAGGGGAATGTTTTCCTTTCTGACACATCGACCTAGGTATCTCCACAGGCAAGCAACAGCTTGTAAGTCGTGATACCGTTCACATTCTTATACATATATAGAAATGTCTGTGGTTAATTATTTACTTCAAAAACTGTTTCATATTTAAATCAGGCACTTATGGCGAGTCTATCCTGATAACTCAGAAGTTGAGCACGAATTAATTTCTGCCTTCTGGCCAACTCTGCCACCTGGTATTGAAGCTGCATATGAGAACATGAAAGATCAGATCCTATTTTTCAAAGGTGAAGTATAAGACTTTCTTCAAATTTTTCTTACTTTTAGCTTTGAGGGAGGATAGGAGGGGGAAAGGGTAGCTATATGTGCATAAAATTCACTTTTCAAATAAATAAATAAAAAGCATGACATTTCATTTGTTTTTCCTACAACCTACGCTACAGGAGTGAATTTTTCCTTTTTGTTTCTGAAAATCACAGGTGAAAATAAGTATTTTTTTTTTTTTTTAATAGGCAATAAATTCTGGGTTATCAGTGGATATCAGGTGTTGCTTGGTTATCCACAGAATATCCATGCATTGGGATTCCCTAAAGGTGTCAAGAAAATTGATGCAGCTGTTTGTAATAAAAATACAGGGAAGACATACTTTTTCATAGGTGACAAATACTGGAGGTAAGAGGAACTGACAAATGTTTTCTTATGATTGACTCCAATGTAGTCTGAATAGAATTAAAATTGTCTATGTAATAAAAGAGAAAGACTTTTAAGTAATTGTACATAACTATGTAATTATAGTAATCTTACTTTTCATAGAAATTCTTTGACTCCTGCACAAAGAGAAGAATACAGCTTTGACTTTTGAGAGCTTAACGGTGTCCTGAAATAACCATTCCAGATATGGACCCATTTTGATGTATTATGCCTGGAAGCTAAAAAAAACTCTGGCATGTGGAGAATTTTTACAAATACAATAGGCAAAAGTATCTCTAGGAAATAAAGATCTGAAAAGAAACCTGCTTCAGCAGAGCTCTGGCTGGGGTGGCTTGTGCAGAATTTCTCTGATTTCTGAAAACTCCTACATTATTTTATCTGATTTAGAGAGACAGAAGTGATAGTTCATTTTCCTTTCTTTGACCAGTTAGCATTGGAATTGCAACATGATTCTTCTAAATCTTATTTAAACTGTCGTGAGTGATTCCTGATACCCAAATACCAGCCAAACTGAAGCAAAAAAATCATTTTGGGGAAGCTGATAGATTTCCTCTGGGTGCAAGAACTCCTGCGAATGCCTTCTCCAGGCAACCAGGAGTATATGTGGGTCAAGCAGACTTTATTGTGACTGTGGGGGTTCTTCAGTGGGACATAAATTGTTAGCTAGATTTTGTGCTGCATGTCATTTCCTGTCTTGTTTTTGATAGTTTTGGAACGAGTATTTACAATATATTTAATTGCTACTTTACTGCCTTGGTCACAAGACAGGCATGCAAGAAAACCACAGCATGGATTTCTTAGTTAGTAACTCCTTATCTCAGTCTCATGTCCCTCTAAAAAGTATTTCTTGTATCCACGGAGAATTAAAACAAAGGTGTGTTTGTTTGCTTGCATGTTTTTCCAGAGAGGGTTCCTAAAAGCCCCCACATTCAGTCCCATCTTATAAAAATTATCCTGGCTCAGTTATGAACAACTTGATTGTATTAAGAGGACGTCAGCTTCCTTTCCTCCATCTAAATCTGTCAGATATTAAAGGACTACGCACAATATCATATCAAAGTCTAAGAGGAGTTTAAAATTCATGTAATAAATATGTGCAGGCTTTGTAGCAGGAATCAACCCAGCCAGTTTCCATGCACTGCCCGTCACACTGCTATCGTTAAGGGAGGTAAATCCCATTCCTGCTGTCAAAAAATTGGTGTCTTCCTTCACTTTTTCTCACTTCAAATGCTTCTCAGGGTCTGTGCCTGCCTTTATCAGCAAACAAGTATCCTCCTTGTTGAAAACCTGAGTAGGTAACTTTACTCTCTGTAACCCCATTCAAATCAAACTACAAATGGCGGACACCTTTCAGCAGCTGATTAATTCTTTGCAGAACTGATGTCTAAACTCTAAAATTACATGTCTCCCTTCATATGATTTAGGTTTGATGAAAACAGCCAGTCCATGGAGAAGGGTTATCCTAGACAAACAGTCAATGACTTTTCGGGAATTAACCAGAGAGTTGATGCTGTTTTCCAACAGAAAGGTAAAGGAAATGATCTTTTAAGTAAAATGGGTGTACTTGTAAAGGACTTACTTGAGTTCTGGAGGGCATTCTGGATGAATGTCGTTACTGATGTGTCCTGCAAAAGAACTGCTTTGTCAGAATGAACCTGTTTCTTTTATTCATGCCGTGATGCCTTACTTTTTTATTTCCAGGGTTATTCTACTTCTTCCATGGATCAAAGCAGTGGGAGTTCGACCCTACAGCTAAAAAAGTTATCCGTGAAATAAAGAGTAACAGCTGGTTTAACTGTTAATATTAAACTTTTTTACACACAACAATTGAGAATAAAAATCATTCTAGATTTCTCAAAGGTTGTTCATATAAACACTACTATACGGAAGAGGCAACAGGACTAGTTTTCCTATGTGTCTACTATTTTAATGTATCATCATGTCAGCTCTAAAGGTACCTCCAAAGGCTAGAATAAAACTGCTTTTTCTCTCCTGAATAAGTGCAATATATCCAACATAATATATGATTTTATACTCCAGATGGGTTTTCCAATATTTTGGCAATAAAAGGTTTTAGGTTTATGTCAACTATATTCTGCTTCATTTGTCTGAAGGTGTTCTATATTTCTGAAGTGAAAGACTTCAGGTTAATATGCTAATATTCTTCCAACATACAATGTTTGTATTTTTATTCTTTGATCTCCTGACAACTTCAGGAGCCAGTTTTTTCATTTATCACTTGTTTTTCTGTCCTCTCTCCTGTGTGTTCCTGTATCTTCTCCTGCTTTTCCTTGTCCATTGCAGCCTTCCGCTTTTCACATCATATCAGTATGTTGCCACAAAAATCATTCTCCAGCCCCAGTGCCTAAATACATTAGATCACAGTCTGTCTTTATAGCTATATAACAACTAGTATTTCATCAGTAACCATTTTTGTGAATCTATAAATGGCATCCTTCAGAAATCAGTTGTGTCTTATTCAAGAAATAGAGTTAATTACAATGTCATGAAGCACAACCTCTGCTCCACTAACGAAAAGCATGTGTTTCAAGTGCACATATATCTGACATTTACTACATACTGCCCTTGCGCATGAAGCAAGCTCAGACAAAATCTATAAAGTCACAACCATATCCTCTCCAAGTATTTCCTTTACATTTAATTCTGGAAAGAGGCCCAGAACCTGCTGCCTGCATGGCAGGTGTATATGAGACCGCGATCTTATTAGAACTGGCTTGTCCTTCTGCTCCCTAGTTCTCACATATCTGGCTGGTTTACACACCTGTTGCATGTTAGAGTAAAAAGTTCCTTTTTGCTATGTATTTTTACAGTACCAGGTGAACAATGCAATGATCCCAATCTGATCTTTACCTATTTGATTTGGCTGTTTGGTACCGTTTGGTACCATTTGGTACTGCTACACTGCTGATATTGCTATGAGAATCCCACTGGCCTGGTTCCCACCAGAAAGTCAAAATAGAGGCTCAGATATGCTGTTTCACTGATCTACAAGACTAATCAAAATTTAAACTTAGAGTGGAGTGAAATGGCAAACATTTGGGTGAGATTCATCTGACTTAACTGTAGCTTTGTGTCTGTCTGCACATCTACTCACACAAGTTATAGAAGATGCCTGTACCGGAAAAAGACGGAAAAGTTCTCTGCAGTGTTACGTATCTCTTCCTAAGACTGTGATGGGGCAAACCAGAATCTTCAGTCCCTGAAGAAAACATCTCTTTGCAGAGAAAGGCTATCCAACTAGCTTAGAGCAGCTAACTTTCAGACAGCTAAAGTTTGGTGAAATTTATAGTGTCTTCGCTGGTATCTATTTTTTATGTGATCTGAAAGAGAAGGACATGCTACTTTTATCCTCTCCGATACTCACTTTTTGTCAAGATAAACCAGCGGCTTTTTATGTCACCACAAGCCAATGATAAAGTTGTTTGAAGGCACCTGCTTGGATTGACACTGCCTGTGAAGTGACCATGATACCCCATAAGACAAGAGCAGAACATACTGGAGGCAGGCAGGATGGAGACACTTCCTTACCTATTACTGTATTTCCAGCTTCTTTAAACTCTTATCCAGCATTCAGTTCAATCGTTGGCTGTGTAGAAATCAGTTTAACAGCACAGTCTCAGAAGGTACCAAGTCACACCCAGGTGTTTATACTCAGACAATTACTCTTTCACACACACTTTGCTCAATGTTTAATACAACTGTAGTTTTAGCTGCAAGAAAAGTTTAATCACTGTGTCATCAAGGAGATTATTCAGTCCTTTGTCATACATAGTCAAGTCTTGAGATACATAAACAAACATCATAGCTACTCTGTGATCCTTTTCTCAGGTGAAACCTTGTTTCACACTTTATATAAATCCTTTGTCTTAAGGAAAGTTGATCTTTAACAGCGAAATACTGTCAGTGAAGTTCTTTGACTGGCAGCTTTGATATTCTCTTAATCCATCATGGGGTTTGTTTTCATGGATCACCTGCAAAAATAAAGAAAGCAATGAGCACTGCTTTTCCTGGTTTGGAAAGAAGGCCAAAAAAAGCATTCCCTACACAAAAAGGCGTGACTTTTGATTTGTGATAAGAGCTTGGTCACTTAGTTTTCCCTCTTTGCTTCTTGTCTTGAATGAATCAGAACCAGAATAGGAGTGAAACAGCAGAAATCCAGTAAATACTAAGTATTTACTGGTGGTCTTTTCCCTCATCTCTGCCAGGAGCCTGGCTAACAAAGGGTAGTGCCTTGCATCTCACCATATCCTCCCACAGCTCTAGACAGTTCCTGGTACCACCTCCACTCTCTTATGCCACCTATAGCTCCCCATAATGCATATCACTATACTACATTTAGGTTACTAGCTGAGTAAACACTGTGCATGGGCTGACCAGCAACTGGCCCCACAGCCCAGCCAACAGATGAATTATCCACATTCCCATTAATAAGATTATTTCTCTTTTGTCGAGCTGCTATTTTCCACAAAACCTCTAGGAATTACACTGTCTCATTTTGACTTGGCTGAAGTTGGCCAGGACCTTCAGTTACTGTGAGATCAGATGGACACACAAACAGATACACAAAAACCAGGATCCCATGTGACCAAGCTAAAATTGTTTTTTTTGGTGTTTTCACTAAACATCCTTCTTGCCTTCCACTGCACATTTTTATTTGGTTTTGTAATGTCATATTCCCCCTACTGTTGACCAGAGCAGTTTGGAAGGGCAGACAAGGCAAGAGAGGAAAGACATATAAAAACAGTGTTTCCAGTTGTTTGATATCCCAAAGAAAAAATGTTAATTTGTTTCTTGGCCAATTAATGTTTTTTAGTAGCTGTTTTTCAAATCAATCATAAGATACTGATGATGAGATTGGATTAGGAAATGAGGAAATTATGCATCCTAATGTCATGTGTTGCTGAGACACACAAGTAAGGCATTCTTGGTAGATTGTCCTGAAAAGTCCGGCTCGCTTCTCAGCCTGCAAGAACATGGTCTTCTAGCACCGGCATGAGAGTGTTTTATGGGCAGAGTGGAGCAGGAGCTGTCTATAGTAAAATACTTGCTAGAGCAGAGCTTAAACCCCAGCTCTTTCCTTTATGCTTTCAGGTGAGAAACCTACCCCCTGTGCTCTTGGGTAGCAGACAGATACTCCAAAAGCCTTAAGAAAACTGATGCTAAATCTTTCTGAGGGTTTGGTGTCTTAAAGGAAGAAAAAAGACAAGTGTGAGAGCTTATGTATGGAGAAAGAACTTGTCATTATATGGATGTACATAACCACTCTTCCTGCCCTTGCTCATAACTCCATGCCTCTTGTGGCTAATTGTCCAAGTTCAGATAACAGAAAAGGAAGCTGCAAGGCTGGTATTTAAATGTTGGTAAGCAACACAGTCTTTGAACAGCTTATGAAGTTTGAACTTTTTTAAACACTGAACCTTCAGACATGCCAGAACCATACCCAGAGCAGTGTACTAAAACACAGTGTAGCCACTGCAGGTACCAGACAGGATGTCAGCCAGGACTGCAGATGAGCTGCACAGCGTGCCTGGGTAAAACAAAGAAGAGCTCTTCTGTGAGAGTTACAAATACCCATTGCAGGGTGACAACTCTTAATGACAGCCATCTCACTGACATTACTGTGTGTATCCTGTGCACATACTTTGTAGACAGGATTTAAAGGTTTGAGACGTGGGTTCTGTGGTTCTGGCTGTGAATCAGAGTTTTTCATGGTCTGGCTGTATTCATTCATTAAATAAGCTTATGGGAGTGGGTGTTGTCTGTAGGGGTTTTTCCTTATGCATCATGTGCTTCATGTGCTTTAAAGATGTGTAAGCACTGTGTCTTGCTACTTTTCAGTAAATGAAAAAACATAGATACGTGTGTGTTTATGTGCTCCATGGGTGCTCCCCGTGTGCTCCAGGTGCATATGGGTCTGTACGGGCTCTGTGGGGCTCTGCAGGCTGCAGGGGCTAAAGGAGTAGGGGATCCCAACAGCTGCACAGAAATTTCTTTTGTGTATTTTACATTAAAAATGCTGCTTCTAGAACCGAGGGCAATACAGCCTCCACACAGCTGGGCAACACAAGGTTTTAAACCATCAAGGAAAAAGCCAACATGACCTTTTAAAGATCAGACTTTATCAAAGAGTGTTAGAAAACATGTCCTGAAGGAATGAGTTCCCTTAACTGTCAGCAACCATTATGGGAGAGGGTAAAATCTGCTTTACCCAGGTTGAGAAGGTTACACTGGTTAAGATAAAAAATCAATATCTAAAAATGAAGGTGGTTTTGACAGAAAAATAGCTTACAGGCATATGATAAATGTCATTATCAAACAGAAGAACTTTGCAATAAAGATGAAAAATATGGAGTTTACAAAAAGCACCAGACAACATTTTTCAAATGTGTGCCTGTATATAATACGTATATGTATGCACATTTACCTGTAGCTGTGTTTCAGACTGTCATCATTATTTTTATAAGCACCGCTTTTGATTTTCACCCAAGATTACAGAGGAAGTGATTTATACAATAAATATATGAACTATTTTCTTTAAATCATGGTGTAATTTAGCTTAGGTCATTATATTTCTCCAAGCAGCTGAAAAGTGTACTTATCACTTCACACTACTGCAAACAGGATTATTGTGAACAAAACAGGCTCTAAGATCAAAAGAAATACACATTGTGCAAGGAAGCAAATAAGGCTCCTCAGGAGGAAACCAAACTGCTACAGGTATGTTCCGGAGCAAAATTCTACAAGTTTAAAAGTGTATGTTCACATAGATGTACATAAACCTCGCCTGGACATGTGGTTTAACAAGCATAAAATGTGAAAGGAGAATGGCTATTATTAAAGATGTGTTTTTCACTTCTAAGAGTGATAAACTCCTTCCTCATTTCCAGGATCACAGCACAGCCTGTGTACATTATGAGCTAGAAGACAGGCTTTAATTAGAGACGAAGGTGCTGATTCAGCAAAGCCTTCATGCTCATACCAAAATTCAAACACATGTGTAAGTAATACTACTTTTGAAATCTTTGACTCAAAGTCTTAATGAAGACATCTGTGCTTATTGTGACCAT